GGCTTAGGGCAGTGGGCACTGCCCCAGCACCAGTGGGGGGACTGCTAATGGACAAGAGGACAGCCAGCAGAAGGGGCTTAGGGCAGTGGGCACTGTCACCCGGTTCCAGGTGGCACTGGCTGACTTTCCTTCTCCATTTTCTAGCAGGTGTTGATACGCAGGACTTCAGCTGTACATCCCCACTGTACTCCTGGTCCCCATCTGACTTGGGCATTGGAAGGTCACGATTTTAAGGGATTATTTTAGCGCAAATGTGTGACAGTCCATCACTCAGCAGGAGAACAGTAAAGATGATAAGCAGGATCATTCTGCTTAGGCGGAATTTCCCTAACTCACCAATCATCCAAGTATCTGCTAAAGACAGATTCCCAAGTCCAGCCCAAGGGGGAGCCCAGCCCCGGGTGTTCCAGGATAGGCCAGGTCAGGCAAGGTCTCTAACAGATGCCCCAAGCATGAGGAGCACAGCTTGGACAGCAGAAGGCTCAAGGACTTCTTCAATAGTTCTGAGTGTCAGGCCAAGGACAGGACCAGTAGTTTCCATCGAGAGAATAAGCAGGCTTGAGAGAAACATCAGAAATTCTGCTCAAAGAACTCCCTGACACACATCAAGTCCCTGAATGGAAGGAAGCCCTTCAAAAGCACAGCACACTTTAAAATAAACTTGTTTTTCTTAGTATAAAACACAAATTCATAAACAAACAAACAAAAAACCCCAAACAGCCTTAAGTGTCACAAGGAAGACAATATTGTCCCCCTGCAGGTGGGACCTAAAGGTGAGCCTGTCGCACTGTAGTGCCTCCTCTTTGGGAAGCTCCTGTGGAGCCTGCCGAGCGCATGGAGACCAGCTGCAGGTGCAGAGTGCTTCCAGTTATCACTGACCACCCCTCCAGGGAAAAATGGGTAAGATCACCTTTTGCAGTAACTTCTGAGCCTTTTCTCCTGGTAACAGGCGTAACCCAGCTGTTGCCTTGAGGACCAGAGGGGTAACCTTCCAGAAGTCAAAGGGAATTTCTTGTTTAGCCACATCCAGTAATTCTTGAATCCCCTGCGTGCTCTGTGAACATTGTAAAGATAAGGTGGGTTCTGTCAGAGCACAGCACACAGGCTTACAGGTGCCCCCCATCTACTTGGCTGTTACTAATTTACAAATACGATTTTTTCTTATTTTCCAGCTAGGCAGGAAACAGTGACTCAAATGGTACTGGAGGTGTGTATGTGTGAACCAGAGACTGAGTGAATAAGGAGACATGCCCATGACCACCAGAACGTGGCAAGTTAGGACACATAAACCACATGGATAGTACACCGAGGAACCATTCTTCACCTATCCATCTGCTCAAGATCCAAGTAGGACAAGACACTACATCAGTATCGGAGTAGGGCACAGCTCTGGAACGGTGTCACTGGTGAATCAGCAGGCACAGTGCCATGGGGGCAATTTGCCAACATCTGTCCAAGTGGAAAACACACATTCCTTTTACCCAGTGACCCATCCTAAGAATTATCCAAGAGATAGCCTTGAATGGCGTGCTATGGCACATGTAGAATGGTGTGCTATGGCATGTGTATGGCACATGCGGCCTTTTTTCATGCAGTTAACAGCGAAAGACTGGACGTCAAATAAGGGTTCTTCAGCTAAGTGTGCACTAATACACTGATACCTGAAGTCAGGAAAACAGGGACGTTCTTCACACACAGACTGCAGATGATCTCCAAGTTATATTGTTAAGTGATCAAAGTAAAGTGTTCAACAGTGTGTCATTCTCCCGTGTATAGAGAGTATAAGGCAGGCAGGGGGTATACAGGTGCACTTGCTATGTACACATAAAACAGCTCTCGAAGGATCTCTAAGAAACCAGGGACACTGGTGTTTCGGGGGGACTGGAATGGGGGGGAAGTTTTCACAGCACGCCCCCGAACAGCTTTCGAAATTTGTCCCACTTGAATGTGCTACCTACCGAAACAAGATTTTAAAAACCCTGTAAGTTTATTCTAAAGATATCTAATTTAATCAATAATTTCAGTTTTCAATTTGTTTTTTAATCTAGCAATAGGAAAGCAAAGCTGTAATTACATTGTATGAGATCATGAGGCACTTGTGGGCAAGAATAACATATTAGCTTATGATTTAAGAAATCCTTAAATTAAAAGGACCTTATAACTAGATTAGCAACTAGTTTCACTCCTACCTTGGTGGAAACGCAGGGTGTTACAAAAGTCTTAGTGCAGGTGTAAGCTTTAAGAACTTTAGAAGCAAAAATGCTACCAACTGACAAAAAAATCATTTATTTATATTTTTAACACCAATTATTCATATTTCTTTTAAAACTTATTTAGTTTTGTAAATTTTGCATAATATATATTTTTAATTTTAGTTTTTTGTTTCAGTCAGTTTGATATCTTCAATCAGAGGACCTGAAATAAAAAATTAAAAGTGTATTATACAGGACAAATATATAATTCCACTTATGTGAAGTATTGAGAATAGGCAAATGCAAAGAGACAAAAATTTATTAGTGGCTACCAGGGACTGGGGAGAAATGAAAATGAGTTATTGCTTAAGGAATACTGAGCTTCTATTTGAAGTGGTGAAAACTTTTGCAAATAGACAGTGGTGATGGTTGTACTACATGGTGGATGTTGTCAAAGAGAGACTGATAGCAGATATCTTGCTTTGATTTTGGGGTTTTCTTAACTCAGGAAACCAAATATTCACTTTAAAGAAATCCCTGACCAAAATACAATTCGCCAATGGCTTTTCTTTCACCCAAAGTTGCAAATCCTCTTTCCTGTTCAAAGCCAGGCTTACTAAATTTAAATTTAAGAAGACACGGCTGAGTGGAGGGCCACACACCATCTCATGACCTGATATCCACTGATCTCAGTAAAAAGGGGAGTACAGGGTTCAATCATTCATGTTAAGATTAGTCAATGGTTGATCTTCTGTATTTCTCCTTCCTCTTTATAAGCATCATTGTACCCAGCGTCTTTAAGTCATTTGTTTTTTCCGAAATCAAAATAGTCTTCCTACATGCATATTCTACATAGACCAAGAGGCAGTCATTAGATAGAACAAGGGGATATTGTGTGGTTTAAAACCAGGAAAGGTGTGTGTCAAGGTTGTATCCTTCCACCATACTTACTCAAACTGTCGGCTGAGCAAATAATCTAAGAAGCTGGACTATATGAAGAATGTGGCATCAGAATTGAAGGAAGACTCACTAACAACCTGCGTTATGCAGATGACACAACTTTGCTTGTTGAAAGTAAAGAGAACTTGAAGCACTTACTGATGAAGATCAAAGACTACAGCCTTCACTATGGATTACACTTCAACATAAAGAAAACAAAAATCCTTACAACTGGACCAATAAGCAGTATCGTGAAAAATGGAGAAAAGATTGAAGTTGTCAAGGATTTCATTTTACTTGGATCCACAATCAACGGCCATGGAAGCAGCAGTCAAGAAATCAAATGACATATCTGCACTGGGCAAATCTGCTGTAAAAGATCTCTTTAAAGTGTTGTAAAGCAAAGATGTTACTTTGAGGACTAAGGTGTGCCTGACCCAAGCCATGGTATTTTCAATCACCTCATATGTAAGTGAAAGCTGGACAATGAATAAGGAAGACTGATTATGGCATTGAAGAATATTGAATATATCAAGGACTCCCAGGGGAACAAACAAGTCTATCTTGGAAGAAGTACAGCCAGAATGCTCCTTAGAAGTGAGACTGGTGACACCAGTCCCTGGAGAAGGACAAGTTTGGTAAAGTAGAGGGTCAGCAAAAGAGAGGAAGACCCTCAATGAGATGGACTGGCACAGTGGCTGCAACAAGAGCTCAAGCACAGCAATGATTCTGAGGATGGTGCAGGACCAGGCAGTGTTTCATTCTGTTGTACATGGGGTTGCTATGATTCGGAACTGACTTGAGGGCAACTAACAACAACATATGAAAACAGAATAACTGCTCAGAATAAACCTATGTTCAAATTTCACTGAGTTTTGTTTAACAGCTTGGTGTCGGAAGTGGGACCCATAGAAACTCGCTGAGTGTCTCACTTTGTGTTGAGGGATCAAACAAAAAATGGTACCAAAAACGGGCCTGTGTCCAATTGTTCCCTCACCACAGCTGGAGAACTTGGTACAAATCTCCCAGGTTTGAGTTCCACTCCTTTTGTGTTGAACACTCTGAGCTTATATCTGAGTAGTTATGGACGTCTTCTCCTTGGTAAGTTACCGTTTTGTGCTGTCTGCTTGGGGAAATGGGTTCCCATCTGCTTTGTCCGTTTTGTTCCACTTTGGGGAATTTCTGTTTGGTGCTTGGGTTTCATAGGGAGTTTTCCCATTTGTGATATCTGAATATTTTCCTTGATCTGGCTTCAAGGGAGAGCAAACTGAGCTCAATAAAAGGTGTTGGATTTGATCCAAGGGGGGCCTCAAATAATTTTATTTGAATACTTCTCCCCGTTTGAGAGCAAGGAGTTACTTGCCCTGGTTTGAGTGCAAGGAATATACTTACCCTGGTCTGGGGGCAAAGAATCTCGGACTGGGTCTGAATGAGGCCCTAAATAACTGTAGTTGAATACCTGAACGAGGGAAATCAAACTAGGTTCAAGGGAGATCTCTGGTAATTTTAAGATGGAACAGATTGGAATTGCATAGCTACTTTTGTGTGTGTACATTGCCTTGTTTTGGGTTGTGTTAAAAGTGTTATGTTGTTGTTGATCGTCATAAAATGGAAAATCGATAAGGTAGAACAGGGGCATAGACCCTATAAGCCTATTGTTTGAGCTGGCTCCACAGACAAGTGAATGTGTGCTGGTCACCAAAATGCTGCCCAGTTGGATGAATTTTGTGGTGGGTCTTGAGGACTTTGGTTTTGACCTGGAGAGATAATTTGGTCTGGGATTTTTTTCCCTATGTGCCATCATGAGGTCACTGTAAGCCTCAGCTCCAAGAAAAACTGCTTCTTGTGTGTGTCTTATGATTTCGGCTTTAGTAACTACTCTGAGAAACTTTGATACAAACCGGTTCATTTGAAAACTGCACTGAAAAAAGGACGGATTGTTTATTTTGATTGGTATAATGAGGCCTCAAAAAGACAAAAATTATTATAAATTTACTTCTCTAGAAGATTCTTTAAAGCATGCAGAAGATAGGGTTATGAAAATGAAATACTTTTTCACCTTCAGATGGTATTATTATGTTAGATTAGTTCAAAGGGCTTTATTCTGATTGGTTTAATGATAAATAAGTGCTTACATAATTTAATAGACCAAATATTTCCAGGAATTAATGAAGGCGAATTCCTTCTGATTGAAGAGAAAAGATAGTAATTTTGTCCTGAAGCGAAAGAAACTGGTTGTTCCAGAATGAGAAAGAGAAAAGCATAAAAAGAAAATTTGCATGGATAAAGGTTAGAAGAAAGTGGAAAGTTGAGAAGGCCAAACTGCTTACCAATAGTTTTTAAAAAAAAAAAAAAAAGGAAAGAAATTGCTTCTTGAACATAGCCTGAAAAATTAAGGCATTTTGTCTTTCAAAATACCTAGACTAACTTAAACATGAATGCGGAAATTATCGAACAATATCATTAATACCACACATAAGTAAAATTTTGCTGAAGGTCATTCAAAAACGCTTGCAGCAGTACATTGAAAGAAACTGCCAGAAGTTCAAGCCGGGTTCAGAAGACGATGTGGAATGAGGGATATCACTGCTCATGTCAGATGGATCTTGGCTAAAAGCAGAGAATACAAGAAAGATGTTTACCTGTGTTATACTGACTATGCAAAGGCATTCAACTGCGTGGATCATAACAAATTACGGACAACTGTGCGAAGAATGGGAATTCCAGAACGTTTAATTGTGTTCACGAGGAACCTGTCCATAGACCAAGAAGCAGTGGTTCAAACAGAACAAGGGGATACTGCATGGTCCAAAATCAGGAAAGGCATGTGTCAGGGTTGTATCCTTTCACCATACTTATTCAATCTGTATGCTGAGTAAATGATCTGAGAAGCTGTACTATATGAAGAAGAATAGGGCATCAG